TGCCTTTTCCTCCTGGGTAATGTAGGTCCTGTTTGGCTGTTTGCTGTTTGCTGCCTCACCATGCCTTACAACACTGTGTATGCCACTATGCTTTTTAAATCTATTAACCATCCTTCGCTGGCCATAAATTCACAAACTGCAGCACTTGTTCCAGGCATTTTCTTTGCAAGATCCTCATGCAATTGCCTTGCCTTCTCACAAATAATAGACTCCACAACACTGTCTCCCACTAATTCTTTTTCCTTAATCCACAATAATAATAACTTTTCCATCTCTTCCATTATTGGTGGCCTTTGTTTAGCTAGAAAAGTTATTCCTTTTGCAACATTAGCATCTTTGATTTGTTCTTTCTTTGCCAGGATGGATGTAATTGTTGATTTATTCTTGCTGTACATCCTGGCAAGTTCTACCACCTTCATACCACTCTCAAACTTTTCTATCACTTCATGCTTAAATTCCATGGTGTTTCTCACTTTCTTTACCACAGGAACTTTCTTTGGAGCCATGGTTACTTATTTCACAGTTGCACTGCAAAAAAAAACACTAAAAACAATGGAAAACAAGTGAAATGTTTGGATGTATGAGCAGAAGCTTCCTCAGCCACCGAGAGACAAAGCCAAACTGACGCACAAGCGGCCCCAATCGGTAGATGAATGCATCCCAAATGGCTGATAACCAAATTAACGGCTGATAACTGGGCGCCGAAAAACCAACCGATAACCGAGTTGGCCAATAACAGAACCGGCCGATAACCGGGGGTCCACTGTATTACATTAAGAATTGATCTTACAGGAATGACAATGGGTAATGCTTTGAGAGTGAAGGGCTCTTCATCCAGGGAATTGGAGCTACCCTTCCCTTGGGTCAAAGTCAAGCCATAACCTCCCATTCCCCATGCACTGTATAATTTTACTGGTTTAGGGCTTCCCCACAATAATAATTAAAAAAAAAACATTAAAAATGTGAGAAAAGCTAAGATTTTTTATAAAAAATCTAATAATTTTGTTATACCTCTTACAGATCTATACCTAGTGAGATCAAAAAGCATTGAGAATAGAAATAAAAAAATAACAATACATACTTATAGTTGCTTTCTTGCCGAGACAAAGAGCAAGGGGGGGAAAATTCCCCAGCCTCGTCACCCTCTGGTTCTTCCCTTTTAGGACTCCCACTTATACACACACTGAAAAGGGCACATATTATAGTTGTATCAATTGTATGAAACATATCACAATATTTTATTAGTACTGTACAACATTTTGCCTATTGGAGGAAGGGGAAGGTGAAAAGTACCAATAAGATTTCACTACATTGTCTATTTGGGACTAGTTGGTATTATGCCATTATTCAGCAAGTACAATATTTCATAATTGCAAAAGGCTTTTTTTTATCATTATTAACAATCAGCTTTCTACCAAGGAGTTGGAGAGGAATGTAATGGCATTTAGTATTTAATAGGATATGGGGCAGCAGGGTAAGAGCTAGAATGTCTGCTGGAGCTATTATAGAGTAAGTATTAACCCGTAAACGGTCCAAACGTATATATACGTTTTTTCAACATTTGATAGTATGTAAAAAAGTAGATTTTTTTTTTTTGTACATCTGAAAACGTGTAAAAAATTTTGATCTACTTTTTTTTTGTTTGAAAATATTTAAAAAAAACGTAGATCTACTTTTGGAGCACTACGCATGTGAACGTAGATCTGCTTGGACCGTTTACGGGTTAATTAAAGGAGTGTCTGCTGGAGTTATTACAGGGTAAGGGACAGAAGTGTATCTGCTGGGGATTTTACAAGGGTAAGGCACAGAAGAGTGTCTACTGGAGTTATTAAAGGGTAAGGGATAGAAGAGTAACTGCTGGAGTTTTTACAAGGGTAAGGCATAAAAGAGTGTCTGCTGGAGTTAATACAAAGTACAGTATTTATAAAAGCAGCATTTGTATAGAGATAAGTGAAAGGAATAAATGCCAAAGTAGTATTACTTAACATTTAGCCTTGTACATTATATCTGCTTACTATACTAAACTGCAATATAAAAATATGCATATACAGTATATGTTACAAGTAGCTTGAGAAAATATTAAACTGTTGATTTACCTAGCCATCATGTCTGAGGCAAGGTCACGATGTCGAGCCATGGGAGTGTTAGATGACGTGCGACGTAGGGAGGACCTCAGCGGTCTTTGGGGTGCAAGTGGTGAACTGCCAAGGGAAGAAAAGGATGACCGACCTACTTGCATCCTTGATAAACCGTATCCTGCTGACTGTCCATATCCTGAACTCTGCCCATATCCGGAAGACTGCCCATACCCCAATGGCTGCCCATAGCCAGAAGATTGTCCATACCCAGATGACTGTCCATAGCCAGAGGAAGACCCATATCCTGAGCTGCACCCCATCACTGGAATGCCAAAAAAGTTATTAGTTATTTTATAAAACCTGAGTAAATGCTATTTCCATAATAATACTGTACTTGAGATATGTATATGTCACTCTCTTCTATAAGACCAGCAATATGCCACTCTCTTCTATAAAACAAGTAATATGCCACTCTCTCCCATAAAACAAACAATATGCCGCTCTTTTCTATTAAAACCTACTCCGAGTTCTCAATCTAATCAAGTCAAATCAAGTTTATTCTCTATAAAGATTACAATGTGGGGTTTACATATTATAGGAAAGGGCCACTATCACGCATGACTAGGCATTTCGGGTAGACTAAGATTAATTCAAAACTCTATATTGGTATAGATTAAGGAGTACAGTGGAACCTCTACTTGCGAGCACATCCACGTGCGAGGTTTTCCAAACACAAGCAGTCGATGGGTCGATTTTTTGCTTCCATATGCAAGCAAAATTTCCATAAGCGAGCAGACCTCAAGGTAGGTTCCTTGATGCTGGTGAGGGGTTCTTGCTCTTGATCTAGGGAATTGTATCTCATTTGTTTATTGGACTATCTTACTGAAACTTGGGCAATGTATGAAGGAAAGATGCTTCTTAGCCTACATCAAAAATGAAAGAAATCAGAGCATAAATAATGGAGTTCACTTCTCAGCAATCAGCCACCCCTTAGCGGTATTTTCATATGGTTTTTATGGTTGTATTCTCGTTTTTTGGTCTCATTTGACTGAATGGAAGATACATTACAGAAATAGATATGATTTTGATTGCTTTCATAACGAAATGTACCTTGAAACTGAGCTCAACGTAGGAGAAACATTCGATTGCTTGGCTATGTTCAAGAGTAAACACTGTCCATTCCAATATTCAGTCATGAATGGGTTGACATTATTTATACAATTATTGCAATAAAGCATAACAGTAAATATTATATTTTTTGTGTGAATAAAAATTACAAATTATTTATATTGTAATAAGAATAATAATAATAATAATAATCATAATAATAATATGCATGTTAATAATACGTATAAAAATTATAGTATAATAATGTAATACAATAATAATAATATAATACGTATAATAACAATACAGTGGACCCCCGGTTTACGATATTATTTCATTCCAGAAGTATGTTCAGGTGCCAGTACTGACCGAATTTGTTCCCATAAGGAATATTGTGAATTAGATTAGTCCATTTCAGACCCCCAAACATACACATGCAAACGCACTTACATAAATACGTTTACATAATTGGTCGCATTGGGAGCTGATCATAAACCGGGGGTCCACTGTACTACATAATAATAATGTTCTACATAATAATAATAATAATAATAATAATAGACAGCTTCAAAGGGCCATCACTAGATGGCGGTGTTTACCACAACAAAGAGGGAGCGGTTGTGGCCACCTCCACCTGTTACATAATGACATTTTAATCATTCTAGAGTATATATCAGGTTTCTATGTTATTTATATTGTTTATTATTTCATATTGGATGAACTGTGATAAATAAATAAGCCGTAGAGTTGATGACAGCTAAATATTCAAGAAGTATTTTGTCCTGTCTCCAGACAAACACTCGTCAGCCGCCGCCGCTGCCACTTACATAATGACATTTTATTCATTCTAGAGTATATATCAGGTTTCTATGTTATTTATATTGTTTGTTATGTCATATTAGATGAACTGTGATAGATAAATAAGCCGTAGAGTTGATATTAGCGAAATTATTGAAGCACAGAATTCCACTGGAACGGATTAATTGCATTTCAATTAATTTAAATGAGGAAAATTGACTCTGCAAACGAGAAAATCCAGTTGCGAGCAAGGTCATGGAACGGATTAAACTTGCAAGTAGAGATTCCACTGTATACTGGTATTAAGGCTAAGTAACTGCATTACAGTTCTTATATTTAGCAATGTGAATAGTTTTATTTTGGTACAATACATAGTTTCTATTGAAGCTCTTATATTGAAGTATCACAGGCAAACTTATGACTAGTTAAGATTTGTTAGGTAATAGTTGTATTATGTATTTCTATGTTAATAGTCAATTGGGTGAGTGTAGGTGTGAATTGTGGGGAATCACAGATATCGAGGGGAGGTCTAGGTTGTTTTTTATGTGTGTATGATACAAGAGAATAGGCAGTTTTCATGTAGTTAGCTGACAGTGGGGTGTGTCAGGGAGATAAGATTTTTTCTAACAGTAGTTTTGAAAGTGATGAATGTGTCTGCAGTTCTAGAGTTTTCAGGTAGGGTGTTCCAGATTTTAGGCCCTTTTATGTACACTGAATTTTTGTATAGGTTTAGCTGGACACGTGGAATGTCATAGAGATGCTGTATCTGGTGTTATGCCTGTGGGTCCTGTCACAACTATCAAGAAAGTGTTTTAGGTCAGGGCTAATGTTGGAATTTAAGGTTCTGTAAATGTAGGTTGCACAGTAGTAAGTTTGGATGTTCTGAACTGTGAGTAAGTTTAGATCTATGAAGAGTGGGGGGAGGTGTGTTGCCTGGGATTTGATTGCGTGATTATTCTTACTGCGGCTTTTTTATTGGGCTATTATTGGCTTTAGGTGTGTTGCTGCAGTTGATCCCCAAGTACAAATATCATAGGTGAAGTAGGGATAAATGAGTGAATGGTACAGTGTGAGAAGGGCAGATTGTGGCATGTAGTAACATATCTTGGAGAGGATCCCAACCATTTTGGATACTTTTTTTTGTTATGTGTTGGATATGGGTGCTAGCTTATAAAGTGAATCAGATTTCTTTACAAAGTCATGATACCTACCTGATTCTCCTTCAGAAGGGGGAGCTTGTGGAAATAAAAGAAAACAGAAATTGTAATTCAAAATAATCCGATAAATATACTTTTAAGCCCTCTCATTCACATGGAAAACCCTGACAACAAGTCTTAAAACGAACATGAAAACTAGACAACATTTGTCTGTGAATCATCACCAAGTCACAAGTAAGAAAAGAGGAGAGAACCAGAAATCAAATCTATGAGAGATGAAGAGACTGTTATGGTCAGAACAAGTTACAGGTGTTCTGAATTACAGCATTTAAACAATTAATGGGCAATAAATATATTAAAAAGATACTCTGAATCATCACCTGATTTGAGCATAGAGGAGAAGTGCTTGCCAGCCAAGCGCCCTAGTGACATGGTACCAGGCCGTCCCATTGACACTCCAGATGACACAGAGGTGCGCCGAGATGAGGAAGCTGGTGGGGGAGACTCATGTTGACCTGTGAGTTATACCAGTATTATTCATATTAAAGGATGTTACCTTTACTAACTTATGCAAAGAAATATTTCTTTGCAGAATTTTGTTACTTAGAATGATCTTTGCATTTGATAACTCTATGTTAGTTATGTTAAACTTTGCAGTAAATAATTTAAGCAAACATTCAATGTCAAGAAATTTTAAGTTCTAGTGTTAGTCTGCTTGAAATGCTTTGCAAAATTATGGGCTTTTGCAAGTAAGAAACATCTAATGTAAACCAATTTTTTTAACACACATGCATTTTCTTGGTAAATAAACCATTTATTTCTTATTAATATAAAGACAAGGGGTAGGGATCATCCCAGAAAGGGTTAAAGGGAGGGGGTAAAGGAGGCTGTGAGGGCTAGGGGCTTGAAACATCCAATAGGCTTGTGTGAGCACATTAGATTTGAGTGGAGACGAGTAACTTTAGGACTTGGCATGCTGTTGAAGTATGAGCAAGGCAAGTAAGTTTTTATTCAGGTACAAGTACACATATACAGTGGAACCTTTACTTACGAGTGCCCCAACATGCGAGTTTTTCAAGATACGAGCAGTCGCTTGGTCGATTTTTTGCTTTCAGATGTGAGAGAAATTTCAAGAAGCAAGCAGGCCTCTAGGGAGGTTCCTTGATGCTGGTGAGGTGCTCTTGCACTTTATCTAGGAAATTGGATCTCAGTTGTTTGTTGGACTACCTTATTGAAACTTAGGCAATGTATGATGGAAAGATGCTTCTTAATGTACATCATAATTAAAAAAAATCGAACCATAAATAACGGAGTTCACTTCTCAGCCATTAGCCACCCCTTAGCGGTATATTTTCGTATGGTTTTTATGGTTGCAATTTAAACATTGCAGCGTGGAGGAGGCAGTGGAGATATCATGTTAGAGGTTCATGAGTAATGTGGTGTGAATATTATGCAAAGAATTAAGAGAATGGATATCAAGAGATGTGGGGTTACCAAAAGTACAATTCAGAAATATGAGGAAGGGGTTGCTGAGATGGTTTGAGCATTTAGAGGGGATGGAGCATAACAGGATGACCAGCATAATAGGATGACCAAGAGGGTGTATAAATCTGGGATGGAAGGTAGGAGGGGTAGGTGAAGTCCCAGGAAGGATAGTAGGGAGGGGTGAAGGTTTTGAGCACTAGTGGCTTAAACATCCAACAGGTTTGTATGGACATATTAGAGTGGAGTGAATGAAGCCCCAGCTATCCCACTTTTCTGCATAACAGTACCTGAATGGTGAGGAGGGCTAGTATGCTGACCCATTGACCTGGGAGGGCTCGGACGGTTAGTGAGGGGAGGACTCAGCTCTCGTACACCCCCTAAAGGTAATGGCAGAGATGTTGATGTTGGGCCAGAGCTGGGAGGTGGGATGGAAGATATAACATCACTTTTCTTCGGTGCTCGCCAACCATTCTGCCCTGGTTTGGGTGGCACATACTGTAGAAGACAACACTACATTAATATCCCTTAATCTACTGGTAATGCTATATTACAGAGCTTTAAAAATTTTTTATATCAACATTTATACATAAAGGTATAAATGAATGTAAGAATGATTTGTTGCAGTAAACGTATATTTTTATGTATAGTCAAATTAGTAAATTCATGGCCTTCCAAATTCACGAACTTTAATTACTTATGTGATTATAAATATGAGGCACAAACGAATGTGAAGCCCAGAAAATGAAAGTTAATTTTAAGTAGACAATTGCAGGTAAAGGTACAGTATTGATGACTACCAACAGGTCACCTTAGTTGTGCTTTAGTGGCGTCTTCTGTCTTTTACTACATTGAAGGTCATCAAGAACATAAGAAAGAAGGAACACTGCAGCAGGCCTACTGACCCATGTGAAGCAGGTCCATATGGGTCCCTCCCCCATCTCGGGATTAGCCCAATGACCCACCTAGTCGGGTCACTTCCACTTAATTAAGGAGCACGGCATCAGACCTAGTAGCACAAGCTAGTCAGGTCCAACTCACACCCACTCATGTATATATCTAACCTATTTTTAAAACTACACAACATTTTAGCCTCTATAACTGTACTCAGGAGTTTGATCGACTCATCTACAACTCTATTACCAAGCCAGTGCTTTCCTATATCCTTCCTGAATCTGAATTTTTCCAATCTGAAACTATTGCTGCGAGACCTGTCTTGGCTGGAAATTTTCAGCACGCTATTTACATCCCCTTTACTTATTCCTGTTTTTCCATTTATACACTTCAATCAAATCCCCCCTAATTCTACGCCTTTCGAGCGAGTGCAGATTCAATGCCCCCAGTCTATCCTCATAGGGAAGATTTCTGATACATGGGATCAACTTTGTCATCCTCCTCTGTACATTTTCCAGAGCATTTATATCCATTCTGTAATACGGTGACCAGAACTGTGCAGCATAATCTAAATGAGGCCTAACCAAGGATATATAGAGTTGAAGAACAATCTGAGGACTTCTATTATTTATACTTCCAGATATGAAGCAAGGATTTTGTTAGCTTTATTGCGAACACTAATGCACTGCTGTCTTGATTTTAGATTACTGCTAACCAGAACTCCTAAATACTTTTTGCAATCAGTAGTATTAGGATCTACGTTATTTAGTTTACATGTGGCATGGTTATTTTCCTGTCCAACATTTAGAACTTTGCATTTGTCTATATTAAACTGCATTTGCCACTTCTCCAACCACTGCATCAGTCTATTCAAATCATCCTGGAGTGCTCTAGTGTCCTCATTAGAATGAATTGGCCGGCTTATTTTGGTGTCATCTGCAAATTTGCTTATATCGCTATTTATTCCTTCATCTATGTCGTTTATGTAAACTGTGAACAACAACTGGCCCAACACTGACCCCTGAGGAACACCGCTTGTGACGTGTCCCCATTCTGATTTCTCCCCATTTATGCAAACTCTCTGCTGCCTATTTGTCAGCCATGCCTCTACCCAGGAAAAAAATTCTCCTCCTATTCCGTGTGCCTTAAGTTTCCTCAATAGCCTCTAATGTAGAACTATATCGGAAGTCTTACTGAAGTCCGTATACACAATATCATATTCATTACCATGATAAGGCTGAAAGTCACTTGTTCACCACCAATCAAGAATACTTTAATATCTAAATTATGGATGAAAATAAAGTTTCAGAGTATGTACACTGAGAGAGACACACCTTTTAGTGTATGTCTAGTGGCGAGTGCTATAAAGATACTGGTGGTTAACGCTCTCGCTTCACACGGTGAGGGCCTGGGTTCGATTCCCAGCCAGAGTAGAAACATTGGACGTGTTTCTTTTCACCTGTTGTCTATGTTCCCCATCAGTAAAATGGGTACCTGGGTGTTAGTCGACTGGTGTGGGTCGCATCCTGGGACACTGACCTAAGGAGGCCTGGTCACAGACCGGGCCGCGGGGGCGTTGACCCCCGGAACTCTCTCCAGATAAACTCCAGATAAACACGACCTTGACATCCAGTGGCTGGTAGTGCGGGGCCCATCGTACCCCCCACTTGTGGGTTGGGGGTTGCCAATAAACCCACCTACTACCAGTGGAGGGATGGGGGGCGACTCCTGACCCTCCCTCGCCACCACCACTGCAACATCGGGTATGCATACCTAACCTGCCCACACTACTCCCAGTCCCTGCCCCTGGGATCCCTCCTCTTCCCCTGCTCCTTTCAAGGACGAGGATGAGCCTTGATGCTGGTGACGGGTTCTTGATCCAAGGAATTAAAGATCCCCCTCACCTTCCTCGCATCAAGCCGGATCACTTCTCATTCCCCCAGGCGCTGTGACCCCCTAAGGCTTTAGCGCTTACATATATATTCATAATGAGCTCTCACCATCACAGTATACGTACACCATCACAGAGTACATATATACACCATCACACGATATATGTTGCCCTCGCTCTGCCATGACAAACATATCCTCATCAAAATTCCATTTCTGTTGTGTATGCAACGGGTTATCCTAAGAGATGGCAATTCCTAGGTGATAGTAACTATAGCTATGCTGGAAAAAACGAATGAACTTAAGAAGACTTACCCTTAAATAAACTTACGTAATACTGCTAATATTAATCCTACGACCATCACTACAACTATTACATCTACTGCTATTAATCTCACTTCGTTTACCCTCCCCTTCCCATGGTGTCCTAGGTTCTTTACTTTTCTCGCCTCGGTTGTGACTTGACAATGATCCTGGACGGACTAAAACATGGTCACAAGATTCCTCTCTTACGTGAGGTTTACCATCATTCATGGACTCATCTTGTGTCATAGACTATCACAGTAAAACAAAGTTGTCATTCCCGCAGTGTAACTATCCTATAAGTAGCAGCACACTGCTAATGTATACAAATTTGATAAAAAAAAATCCTGTAACCCCCACTCCACACAGTACGCCTTACTCTGTTACTCCTACCTCATTCCCCCCCCCCCCCCGCACACACTGAATTAGCTCCAGAATTCTATACACGAGAGGCTGAGGTGGCACCCTTGTTGGGGGGGGCTAGGGGACCTATCTCGAAACTGTTCGATTATTATTAATTTTATTTGAGGGGGTTTTTGGGCTGATATAGATTATGCAGAGGGGTTTCCGCCCCTTTTCCCCTCTTAGCGCCGTCACTGCTCTTGATCCAAGTAACTGAACATGCCCTCCAGTTTCTTTGGATCAAGCCTGCTTGCCTCATTCCCCAAACGCTGTACGTCTCCCACGGTTTTAGCGCATCCCCATAATGATAATAATCTGGCGACCCTCACCCTCCTCCCCAATTTGCCCTTTCATTCTTTCCTCTCCCTTCCCTACCCTACCCTCCCCATCCTCTCCCCTCCCACCTCATCTTCCCTCCCCATTCCTGCCTCTCCCTCCCTCCACAACATTCCACACGCTCCACTAACACATGTACACAAACACTGCTGCTGTATCAGGCAACAACACCAACGGTTCATAATGCTGCAATTAGTAGTTTGATGAGGCTCATTAAGGTTGAATTTCACCTGTACCGTAACGTCATTATATTGCATTCATACAGGAATGGAGCGCTAAACCCGTAGGAGCCACACAACGCCTGGGGGTAAGTTTATTTAGGTACAGGTACACTAATACAGCTACACAAATTATCATACATAGTAAAATATGGATAACTAAAGTGTAATGAACACTTGTCAATACTCAGTAATAACCCACATGTAAAAAAAAATACAAAAGATTAATTGGCCCCTATATTTGGACCCCCTTCTGGGGTCTTCTTCAGCTGGTGATCAGAAGGGGATCGAAATATACAGATAAATTAATCAAATATTTTTTGTCTCCATGTGGGTTATTACTGAGTATTGTAACATGTAAATTATCCAGAATAATCCAAAAAATTATCAAAGTGACTTATTTCCATTGGGAGTATGGGAGGTAATTAGATTCGATGCAAAAAAAAGGGAAGATCAGGTCCAATTTCTTGTAACAAAAGCCCCTCAATCGGCGTCAACAGACCCACCAACGTCAAGAATAATAAAAATAAAGATTAAAGTAACCTCTCGGTGTATATACTTTGAGCGACATATACCTGTGTATATATATGCTGATATATACCTGTGTATATATATGCTGATATATACCTGTGTATATAAACATATATACCTGTGTATATAAACATATATGTGTATATAAACATATATACCTGTGTATATAAACATATATACCTGTGTATATAAACATATATACTACATCGGAGTATAAAATAAATTCCAACCACACAATAGAGCGGAAAACTAATGTGAAGACCTACAGGGAGTCTACCTGGAGGGTATTCCGGGATCAACGCCCCCCACGGCCCGGTCCACGACCAGGATTCCCGGTGGATCAGTGCCTGATCAACCGGGTTGTTACTGCTGGCCACACGTAGTCCAACGTACGAACCACAGCCCGGCTGATCTGGAACTATCTGTCCAGCTCCCTCTTGAAGGCAGCTAGGGGCCTATTGGTAATTCCCCTTATGCATGGCGCAGACGGGCAGACGTCCTGGGTGATGTCGCGAGGTGACGTCGGGCAGCATCCTAGAGTGACGTCGCAAGGCAGTGTCAGGCAGCATGGTGACGTCGGAAGGTGACGTCAGGCAACGTCCTGGAGTGACGTGGCGAGGTGACGTCAGGCAGACGTCCTGGGTGACCGGTGCGAGGTGACGTCGGGCAGACGTTCTGAATGGCGTCGCGAGGTGACGTCGGGCAGACGTCCTGGAGTGACATCGGATAGAATGGTGACGTTGCGAGGTGATGCCAGGCAGCAGATAACAGCATGTGGCTTTGAACATCTGGCTTAGTAATCCACGTGGCTCGCTCCACGTGACTTTTAGATCTACGTGGCCTTATCCACACGTGGCTTCGTGATCCACATGGCTTCGAGTGACCTCGGGCACTCGGATACACAGTTCTGGCAAATGACACCCT